TTTTCGAGACAGGATCTCTCTGTAGCTTTGGAGCCTGTCCTGGGACTCCCTTTGTAGACCAGGCTGGCCTCGAACTCACAGAGATCCGCCTGCCTCTGCCTCCCGAGTGCTGGGATTACAGGCATGCGCCACCACCGCCCGGCATACATGCCCCTCTTTACATTACTATTGCATATTAGTGTGTCTCGGGATTTACCTTCATCTAAATCCTGAATTAGAGGAAGACGTTGTTTCCTTCATCCCAGCTACTCTAAGGTGCTTGCTCATAGTCTTGTCTAGTCGTTATTCATGGTTATCCACACTTTAGCAAGACACTAATTCTCATGATTCATCTGACATCATCTTCCCTGCTAAGATTGGCCTCCAAAATCAGTACCTAGTCTCCACCATTGTAATTTCATTAAATGTACAATTTCCCATCAGCCAGAAAAGCACAACCATTTGTCTCTTATTAGTCATTGGCATTGCTTTAAGTTTTTAAAAGTTGTATCATTATGTGTACATAATGGTATCTGTGTGCAGCTTTGTGCACGTGACTGCAGTGACCACAGAGGCCAGAAGAGGGAGGCAGATTTCTTGGAACTGGATGTATAAGTGCCAGTGAGCTGGCTGACATGACCACTCAGCACTGAACCTGGGTCTTCTGCAGCAAGTTCTCTTAACTGCTGAGCCATCTCTCCAGTCCATTTTTGTTTGTTTATTTATTTTTTGTTTTTTTGAGACAGGGTTTCTTTGTGTAGTTCTGACTGTCCTGGAACTTGCTCTGTAGACCAGGCTGGACTTGAACTCAAGAGATCCACCTGCCTCTGCCTCTCAAGTACTTAGATTTAAGGTGTATACCACTACTGGCTGGGCAATCTCTTATGTTTAAATCATTTATCTCTGTACAGTTTCCATGAGCATTTATGCCACTCTGAATATGGTCGCATGTATGGAGCATCGTCTGAATATCATCGTTTGTGGATGATTCATGGCACACGCATGAGGCAGTGTTACTGCAGGCTGGCCAACATGAGTTCAGCATTTAAAAATATTCCTGCTGGGGCTGTGTGTGCAGCTCAGAGCATGGGCTAAGGATGCATGAGGCCTTGGGTTCCATCTTCAGCACCGAGAGAACAATATTATTATTAAACCAGATGTGATACAGAATGAAATAACTGTGAACGTGAAGTAGGCTGGGCCTAGTGGGACAGGGTCAGTCAATTCATCCAACCACGTATTCCAGTGTCTGCCTTTTTATCCACCATCCCTCCATACACGTCTGTCACCTATCCATTCATCCATCCTCAAAGGGATAAAGGGACCCCTTTCTTTCATTCCCATAGCCTGGCTATGGGGAAAGGCTTTGTCATACGCTCTTACCTCCCCACACTTGTCACAGATGGGAGCCTCCCCCTCAGTTAGTCGCCACCTCCTCCCTCCCTGGGAATTTCTGCACAGACATGTCTGCTTCTGCTCCAGCCCACCGCAGCTTCATGCCCACATCCTCTCAGCACATGGACTAGGAGATAAAGGGCATTCAAACCAGCAGCCCAGAAAACATACCTGGGAATATTTGTCACGTTTGAGAAGGTGACTCCAGGGTCAGGAGAAGAGACAACAGCTGTGGATTGTGTCATAGTCCAGTCTCTGCGCAGGTATTTTGTAGTAACCAGGATGGCAACTTTAGTTGGGCGTATAGTAGTTATGATGTCAGAAGTGGACATATCTGAAGAATCTGTGAGAAGACACATGGTGTAGAGAGAAAATAAATGGACATGTAATGGATGGAAGGACAGACGGATGGATGGACAGACGGATGGATGGATGAGCAGAAGAAGAGAAGTGAGCTGGGGAGGGAAAAGAACGTGCCTATTCATGAAGCAAGGATGTTTTTACTAAAATACAAAGAAGCCAGCCTGAAGTAGAGACAGAGACAGATGAGTGGAAGGAGAAAAGGAGGAGGGCTGGTGAGGCGTGAAGGAAAGACTCCTCGGGCTGTCTGAGCTATGGAAACGTTCTCCTCTGCTGCTGTCCAGCTCTCAACGTCCCCCTTCTCCCCCTTAAATGGCTCTCTCTGCCTCTGTAAGTCACGTCTCTCTAAAGGTGTCCTTTACTGCTGTATTGCGTCTGAGCCTCAGCTTGGGCTTGGCACAGACTCCCTGGCTCTAGGAAGGGAGGCCTGTTTCTCTTTTCTCTGCCATCCTTGATCATCCACTATTACTACTGGGGATGTAGAGCCCAGCAAGGTACCAGCTGCTCCTCGGTGAATTCAGAAATCCATAGGGGGACTCGTATTTGCATGGGTTCCCTAGAACCTTGTTCCCCATAAGTGAGTGTCACTTCAGGTCTGCTGAGTCAGGGTCATCGTGAAATAAGGAGTTCAGGTGGTTCATGCCCACAGCAAGGTCTGAGATAAAAAGATTAGAAGCCCAAGGAGCCAACACAGTCATCTTGGGTAGAGGAGAGTAGATTTCAGGAACCTCCTAAGGAGACAACTTCTAAGTAGAGATTTGGGAAATGGAACCCAAATATGTTCCATGTCTACCGATTGCCCTTTACTAAATTCTGCTACCCAAGGAGAATTCATGGATAACACCCCACTTACCATTGTCCTGCACGGGACCTCAGATGAAGATTCTGGGAGAAAGCCAGGCTTCTAGAAACCCTGGGCTCCAGTGCATCCTCACCTGACACAGCTCCCTCTCCCCTCTCACAGCTTGTGCTCTGCAGCCTGAAATGTCAGCTGAGCTGCTTAAGAAATGTTTTTCCTAAAAAAACTGAAGAAACCTTTGACCCAAGGCCAGGCCAAGAGTGGACCCAGACCAGGGACATTTACAGAAACAGGACTGAGCCAGTGACCTAGGCTGGAACAGGCCTGAGACAGAAAACTCCACAGGAATAGGTACAAGGGAGCAACTGCTAAGAGAGTAGGCCAGAACCAGAGACATCTGCAAGTCTGGGCATGAGTCTGGGATCTCTGAGGAAGTAGGCCTGAGCCAGGACCTCTGTGGGTTTGAATGTGAGCTTGAGACCTCTGAGGGAGTAGGCAGGAATCATAGAAGTAGGCAGAGGCCAGAGCAGCTCGAAGGCCCAGCAGAAAGAGCCCCCAAGAAAGCAACTTTGAGGGAACAGGCCTGAATGACTCCTGGCATTGTAGAGCAAAACCCCAGAGCTCTGACTGACTTCCAGGAACACGGAGTGACTAATAGGGTGACTGGAACAATGACCCTGACTGCACCACGATGAGCAACCTTATGAGCATTGAATCTACTGTCACCTGGAAGATTGATCACCAGAGTCACAGACAGCACCAGCTATACCAATCAGGGCAAGATGGGTAGACAAGATAAGAACACATTCAACATCAGAAAGAATAACATAACACCAATAAAAACCAGTGGCCCTACAGCAGCAAGACTTAAACAAACAAATACAGATTAAGAAGAAGAAAGTGACCTCAAAAATGACTTTAGGAGAATGTTTGAGGCCCTTAAAGAGGAAATGAAAATTTCCTTCAAAGAATGGAGGGAAAGACAAAACAAAAAATTGGAAAAAAATGAAAAAAAAACCTTTAAGAAAAGAAAAAAGCAATCAAACAGATGAAAGAAACTATTCAAGACTTAAAAACTTAAATAGAGACAAAAAGAAAGCACAAATTGTAGGAATTATAGAAATGGAGATTATGAGAAAATGGTCAGGAACTACAAATGAAAGCATAAATAGCAGGATACAAGAGATGGAAGAGAGACTCTCAAGCTCTGAAGATACAATAGAGGAAACAGAGTCATCAGTCAAAAAAAAAAAAGGATTAAATCTAACAAAAGCTTAACAAAAATATTCAGGAAATATGGGACACCATGAAAACAGCAAACCTAACAAAAATAGGTATAGAAGAAGGAGAAGCCCAGCTCAAAAGCACAGAAAACATATTCAATAAAATCATAGAAGAAAACATTTCCAACCTAAGGAAAGATATGCATATGAATATAAAAGAAGCTTACAGAACACTAAATAGACTGAATATGAAAAGCCCCCTTGCCACATAATAATCAAAACATTAAACACAGAATAAAGAAAGAATATTAAGAGCTGCAAAGGAAAAAGGCCAAGTTAATATTATACCTGACTTCTCAAAGGAATAAATGAAAGCCAGAAGGTCTTGGTTAAGTGTTATGCAGACATTAAGAGACAATGGATGCCAGCCCAGACTACTATACCAAGCAAAACTTTCAATCACCATAGAAGGACAAAACAAGATATTCCATGATAGAACAAGATTTAATCAATACCTAGTCACAAACCCAGCACAAAGCACTAGAATGAGAACTCCAACCCAAGGAAGTTGGCTACATCTAAAAAAACACAGACAATTGGTGATCTCACAGAAGCAAATCCCAAAGAAGGGGAAAAACACACACAATAACATCACTGACAACGAAAATTAAATTAACAGGAGATAGCAATCACTGGTCATTAATATTCCTTAATATAAATGGACTCAATCCACCTAAAAAAGACACAGGCTAACAGATTGGATATGAAAACAGAATCCATCCTTCTGCTGCATACAAGAAAAACACCTCAACCCTAAGACAAACATCTCCTCAGACTAAAGGGTTGGAAAAAAAATTTCCAATCAAATGGACCTAAAAAGAAACAAGCTGATGTAGCTATCCTAATATTTAACAAAATAGACTTCAAACTAAAATCAATCAAAGGAGACAAAGAAGGACATGTTATATTAGTCACAGGAAAAATCTATCACAAAGAAATATCAATACTGAACATCTATGCCTGGAATACAGGGGCCCCCTCATATGTAAAAGAAACACTTCTAAAGCTTAAATCACACATTAAACCCCACATACTAATAGTGGGAGACTTCATCACTCCACTCTCACCACCAGAAAGGTCTGTGAGACAAAAAATTAACAGAGAAATAAGGAAACTAGCAGATGTTAGGACTCTAATGGATTTAACCGAGATCTATAGAGCATTCACTCCAAACAAAAGAGTATACCTTCTTAGCACCTCACAAAAATCGACCATACACTAAGGTAACAAAGCAAACCTCAACAGATACAAAAATTGGAATAACCTAGGTATCTTATCAGATCACCATGGCCTAAAATTAGAACTCAACAGCAACACTAATTCCAGAAAGCCTACAAACACATGGAAATTAAACCATGCTACCCTGAAGCATGGGTGGTCCTTGGACTTCCCACAGGGCAGGGAACCCTGATTGCTCTTCGGGCTGACGAGGGAGGGGGACTTGATTGGGGGAGGGGGAGGGAAAGGGGAGGCGGCGGTGGGGAAGAGACAGAAATCTTTAATTAATAAATAAAAAAAATAAAGGGGAGAGATTTAAGATTTCCTAAAATTCAATGAAAATAACCACACAACATACCCAAATTTATATGATACAATGAAAACAGTGTTAAGATGTAAATTAATAGTATTTAATGCCTACATAAAGAAGCTGGAAAAAATCCCACACTAGTGAATTAACAGAACATTAGAACAAAAAGAAGCAAACTCACCCAGGAAAACAAGATGGCAGGAAATAATCAGATTGAGAGATGAAATCAACAAAATAGAAACAAAGAAAAGAATACAAAGAATTAATGAGACAAAGAGTTGGTTATTTGAGAAAATGAACAAAATAGACAAATCTTTAACCAAACTAACCAAAAGGCAGAGAGAGAATATCCAAATTAACAAACTCAGCAATGAAAAGAGGGCATAACAACAGACACAGAGGAAATACAGAGAATCATTAGGTCATGTTTCAAAAACCTGTAGCCCACAAATTGGAAAACTGAAAGGAAATGGATAACTTTCTGGATAAATATCACTTACCAAAGTTAAATCAACACCAGAAAAGCAAATTAAATGGACCTATGACTGCTAAAGTAATAGAAAAAGTCATCAAAATCTCCCAGCAAAAAAAAAAAAAATGTCCAGGACCAGAGGGTTTCAGCTCAGAATTCTACAAGATTTTCAAAGAACAAATACCAATATTCCTCAAACTGTTTCACACAATAGAAACAGAAGGAACATTGCCAAACTCTTTTTATGAGGCCAAAATTGCCCAGATACCTGAACCATATAAAGACATGACCAGAAAAGAGAATTATAGGTCAATCTCCCTCATGAACATTGATGCAAAAATACTCAATAAAATACTGGGAAAATGAATCCAAGAACACATCAGAATCATCATCCACCATGATCAAGTTGGCTTCATAAAGAAATGCAGCAATGGTTAAGCATATGATAATCTGTCAACAAAATCCACAAATAAACTGAGAAATAAAAACCACATGATCATCTCATTAGATGCTAAAAAAGCTTTAGACACAATATAACATCCCTTTATGATAAAGATCTTGGAGAGTGCTATAGAGGTTTACATTGGTATGGATCTTGATTTATTGATACAAATTTAAGGTCAATTTTGTTATACTGTATATATATATATTTCTGTTCTTAATTAAGGTATTGTGTTTGTGCAGCTCATTTAAAAATGTAACGTAATAGATAGTCATCTGTAATAGTCAATTCTGTAGTCATGTTAGTTAGGTTTCTAGATGTTCAGAGATGTATTTCAGATGGATAGGCAGTCTTCAAACCTTTCAAAGACTACAGAATATGGCATTTAAAATGTTAAAAAAAACTTAGGACTTTTCATGACAATGAGACATATCTGCTACTGGCAGCACCAATAACTTC